CACCTTTGTCTTTATCCTTATAACAGTACGACATTCATTCGCATAAATAGAGTTATTTACGTTCACTCCTTCTTCGTTCAACGTTTATATAAATCTTTAATGAATGTAAGAAATGATTGCGATTCCAAAGGATAATCTAATGTATATGGAATATATACGAAACCATGACCTAATTTTAACAGTAACACACCAAATGCGTATGTTGTGAAGGTGATATGATAATAAACTTGCATTTATTGCAGTTAAATAATAAATTCAGGATTTATAACTTATTAAAACAATTATTCAGAGAAATAATATTCATTGAAGAACAAAAGTAAATATATGAAAGTTTTTCTGATTTTAAGCTTTAGTCATATTATATATTATATATTTTATTAGACAAAATGAAAAAAGAATATGAATTTTCTTTCTAAGTTTTTAAGCACGCACTAAGAAAATAAAATACATTGTTGGAAAAAAATATAAATATCTTCAAATTTTGAGCGAATATAATCGAAATTATGAAAGATATAAACAAATATTTTAGGCCAAAATTTTATAATTTGTGATGCAATTTAATAATAATGCATTTAAATTTTGCGAAAATGTATGTAACAAATATTTTTTCTAAATAATTTTCATTTTTTCCATCATTATAGGACATTTTAACATTTTTCTAACAACAAAAATTAAGGAACTTATCACTCTAAACATTATTATACATTATGTATAATCATATTACTTTCTAAACAAGTAATTTTTTTAGAAGTAAAATACGAACATTTTATATACATGTATAAGATCTTGCTTTAACATATATTTTTAAGCTGATAATTCTGAATAATTTTGAGTAACAAATATTATTATCTGTATGTTTATTATCTATTTAAAAATTATTTAAACATGTTAACGATGTAAACAAGCGTTATGCAAATATGATAGTTTGATTACATTGAACATAAATGAAATGGATATAAATGAGAGGAATTTTATCTTTCTCTATCTTTTCTGCGTTTTAACCTTAAATAAGACATGACCTAGTTTTTTTTTGTTTTGCCCAAGCATATATAAGAAAAAATCAGAATGTATTTATCTCAGAATGTATTTATTTCGCGTTAGTTATCTCTCGTAGATTAAAGTTCTGTATTTCAAACAGAGATTCCAGTTTGTCACTCTCTCCGTATTATCATTCTAATTCCCATCCATTTTTTATTATCCCATTTATACAAAACATTCCCAAAAAATTCTATTCAATTATACAAAATAGAAGATTAACGTTCACAATCAATAATAAGTTAAACAAGCCCATTAAATTACTTAAACATCTCTTACCAAAATGGAATCGCTCTAACGTAATTTATAAAATCATATGTAATGATTGTGCTTCGTAGGTTGGACAGACAAATAAACAATTGACCACTAGAATTAAAGAACATCAATCTAATTTTAATAGATTTTTGAATTCCTTAACAGTGGTGGTCAACACATAAATTACTTGGCCACGATTTTAAGTGGGAAGACACAACAATTCTAGAACCTATATGAAGATTCTTCATGGAAAAGACTAACCGCAGAAATGCTGCCAACAAAAAACAGGATTAAATATGCACAACGACACGGAATTCCTAGATAATTCTTACTTGCTTATTACTAATAAATGCTAACCAATTTCAAAAACTCCTGCCAGTCTTCGCCGTCTTCCCCTTAATATTTCCTCCATCATCCTTTTTTCCCCTTTCTACTTCCTCTCACACCTGTCTCTTATATCCTTCGCTATCAGTACTATTTTCGTCTACCTAGTTAAACTAAAATAGCGTTCACATTCTTTACTTTCTCCGCAGAACTTTTTCCTACCTCTCTTTGCTTTTATACTTTCCTGTACGTAATTTTATAACGATATTTGCGCTTACATTTAAGTTGTTAGTAATAACTGCGATTTCCTTTTATTACTTTTTTCTAATTATTGTTTCTCTATGTTATTTATTTATTTATTGTAAATTAGTTTCTCTAAATTTTTTTTGTTAATGCGCTTGGCTTAATTTATTTGATTTGCTTGCTCCGTTTTGTACTTTTCTTTTTTACAGACTTTAACATCATCTAAGTTTTTAATACACCTCGAAGAAATTGATAGAGTTTCCACTTAATACCTCTCCTTAGATTTCTTTTGGATCACGTTTTTAATTTTATCAACTATAATTTCTCTACCTTAGGCAGATTTATAATTGATAGAATATATTTACATAAATTATGAAATATCTCGTAAAATATTTACTTTTCAATTATATTATGTCAATATTTTTACAAGATGTCTTAAATAAAACAACATATCAGAATAACTCATAAACGAAGTTAGAAAATAATTGTTTGAATAAAAATTATAGAGTATATAGGAGGCGAACTGAAAATGATTAAGTGATTACCTTACCATTTCATATATCAGTATAATGTGTATGTTTACAAGATATTTTATACTTTAATTTAGCATCATTTACATAATTTTACATAAATTATGTCAATATTTTTATGCATAAAATAATGAGAGGAATCAATTGTAGAAAAACACAAAGTTGTCTTTAAGAAAAAAATATAAATTTTTGCAATGAATAGCTACATTTTATCCATTAACTGTTTAACAAAGTCTTTTTTTCATAATTTTCTCAATATATAAAATAAAATAGGAGATAAGTGGAAGATACGTATCTAATCATAAAATATTTTGTCATAAAGTATTTAATCATAAAATTCATCACAATTGAACAATAAGGAAATAAATAATTAGATATCTTTCAGATATCAAAATCAGATTATATTATTATCTACAATGCGTAAACAATTGAATGAGCAGCAATATTACTTTAGTTGATAATGAGTCCAGTATTATGTAAGTATGCAGTAAAGCGTTTATTGCATCGCAAGAAACTAGTAATAGTAAAAGTATTTATAATTATATTAAACTAGTATAGTAAAAGTATTTGCTTTAATAACAAGTCTTATCTTGTGAATAAGTGTGTGTTGTAAATAAATCAATAAATATATATAAATATTTTTGTTATTTATAGTGAGTACTATTTATCTTATGCAAGTGTAAAATTCTTTCTTCACATATTGATTTTATGCGTTATATTTTATGTTGATGTTTGATGTCACTGTTTTGTATTTGTAGGAAGTTCGAAAATCATGTTTGTATTTTGTTATCAATTAAGTATTTTATCAATTAAGAAATGATAAGTATAATATTTATTAAGAATAATTTCATGTTTCTATAATATTTATTATACTACAATTTTACAAATCAATAGCAACATTTATTAAATAACAAAACAAATCAGTTAATTAATGTCAAATTAAATTTTTATGTATTTGAATTAACACAGATAAAAAATATAATCTCAATATTCTTTAATATACATTTAGGATTAAAAAAATCTGATATATATTAATTTTTGCAAAAATATTATTGATTATTCGAATGTCACTGAATGTTTAATTAATTGAACTTAAAGTTTTAAAATAAAACTCTACGTTTGATAGTGTGTAATTTAAAAATATTTTAAAAAGAGTGCTATAACACAGTGCTATAACAACAATTATACAGGGTGACCCATTTTAACTTAGGCAGCCAAATAACTCGAAAAATAAGCACACTACGAAAAAATGGTTAGAATCAAAATTTCGTCATTTCGAGGGGGACGTACAATGACGTTAAAATCAGCCCCCTCACTCCTCCCCCTGGGCGGTGAGGGGGGGCAAGTTTGAAATCTTAAATGGGAACCCCTATTTTTTATTGCATATTCCTGTAGCTTATCTCGAGAGCTTTCCAAAACACTATAATTAAGTACCTTTTTATTAAGTACTTTTTGAGTTATAAGGCTTGAAATAATTTCTTAATTTTACATAAACCATAAAATATCTAGTAAACCATTCATTTTTCGATTATCTTACCTTCATACTTTTATGTACAAAATAATAAGAGGAATCAATTGATGTAAAGAAAACACATAGTTGTTTCTAAGAAAAAATATGTAATTTGCAATTAACAATTCCATATTTTTTCTTAAAAACAACTGTATGTTTTCTTTACATCAATTGATTCCTCTCATTATTTTGTACATAAAAGTATGAAGGTAAGATAATCGAAAAATGAATGGTTTACTAGATATTTTATGGTTTATGTAAAATTAAGAAATTATTTCAAGCCTTATAACTCAAAAAGAACTTAATAAAAAGGTACTTAATTATAGTGTTTTGGAAAGAGATAAGCTACAGGAATATGCAATAAAAAATAGGGGTTCCCATTTAAGATTTCAAACTTGCCCCCCCTCACCGCCCAGGGGGAGGAGTGAGGGGGCTGATTTTAACGTCATTGTACGTCCCCCTCGAAATGACGAAATTTTGATTCTAACCATTTTTTCGTAGTGTGCTTATTTTTCGAGTTATTTGGCTGCCTAAGTTAAAATGGGTCACCCTGTATAATGCCATAATAATTTTGAAAATATAAAATGGAGTATAATACACAGTATAAAATATTTAAAATTAGTATAAGAAAGTATAAAATGACAGTATAAAACATTTAAGATTATAAAAAAATTAGATATTTCTAAAAACATGCACTATTCTAGATAAAAATCTAATGTCAAGATAAATAATAAACAGTCCGAAGAGAAATTAGCATATTATTCTTATTATGCTATTATTTTGTTTTGATAGTAATTGTGAATCAATTTCCTCGTATAGAAAAATCCCAGACTGCTTAATAACATACACTTATCTTATTGAATTGATAATATATTGAAATTACATCAAAATTAATCATATTTATAGTTAATTATATATCTGTAATAAATGAAATAATTCATAATAATTGTGAACAACTACCGGAAGAAAGTCTTTAATGCAAATGAAATAGCATAGTTCGAAAATAGTAATTAAGAATTGCGTGCGTAATATGAATGATACATGATAACGAGTTATCAACGATATTACAAATAAAATAAGAAGGAGATATTGAAGAAGATATATAAAGCTGCTACAGCGTATATTGTACTTAAGTTTATTCTGTCACTACAACCAGTGGAAGTCATAGCAATACGCAAGATAACTTCGGGTTTTAAACATCCTGTTCGACAGTGAAAGTAGTGAGAGCAGTGTGAGTAGTTGTTAAAAGCAAGTTGCGTTCTACTTTGATGAGAGAAAGATATTAAAACCGACATATATTTTTGTTTCTAGATTTTAACTGAATAAAAATAAAAATTTCTATATATTTATAGATATTTATTGCTATAAATTACTAATATAAATTGTTAATTTACTGTAACAGTCGTAATATGATCATCGAATGCATGAATTATGTGTTTCTGAGTTATAATTAATTGAATTGTAATGACAAAGAAAATAATATTTCTCTTATATAAGAAGAATAGAATCTCTCAGAAGATACATATGTCTCTAAAGAAATAAAAGCAATTGGTCTAAAGGAGATACATGTCAGTTTAGTGTCTTTTTCATTCAAGAGTATAAATCTAATCACATATACATATAATTCAATCATCTATTACATTATATTGTAAAGGAAGCAGTGGCATCAATGATATCATTAAAATCAATGATATCATTAAAAAATTGTTATTCAAAATTTTGTTACTGCAAATCGACAAATTTATTATCTTTTATTTTATAGATAAGAGATTATATTTCTTTTATAAACACAAGCTACAAAATGGCATTCATTACGACTTACTGGGGTCTGGATGGCATGATAGCCCTAACGGTTCTCATTATAACCGCCTACCTTTATACGACTCGTAAATTCAATTATTGGAAAAAACGAAACGTTGTGGAAGTATCACCGATGCCTTTCTGGGGCAATTTCAAGGAATGCGCGTTGTTAAAGATACCTGCTGGCTTTCTCATGAGGGATCTTTATACTCAAGCGAAGGGAATACCTTACATCGGCTTCTACATTATAGACGAACCCTGCTTGCTGATTCGCGATCGCGAAATGATCAAGAATGTTTTAGTAAAAGACTTTAGTTATTTTTCTGATCGAAATGGCTCGCCTAGTCCGAATGATCGTTTGGGTCTCTCCAATCTTTTCTTCTTAAAAAATCCGGCCTGGAAGATATTACGGGCGAAGTTAACGCCGATTTTCACGTCCGGCAAATTAAAGAAAATGTTCGAGTTGATGATTGAATGCGCTAAGAATTTGGAGACGTATCTAGAATCTTTGAAAGTGAACGGTATGTGTTCGGAAAGATTTATTAAATATTATATACGACGTTGAGATATAAAGAATCTTACAAAAATTGTGATAAATAAATCAATTTCTTTTTCATTTCGCTCTGTCCATTTTTATATAAAAAAAGTGATATAATAAGATGTAAAATATATATATTTCATATAAGAAATATTCATATTCTTTATTTCTCAACTATTATTTTATAAATTATATTAACATTTATAAGAAAAATGAAAAGATAATCTCTCTTGAGAAAAGAGAAAATAATATAATAAAACACATAAAACATTTCATATAAAGTATCCACATTTTTTACTTATCTTTCCTATAAATTACTTTAATATTTTCGTATGAGAAATAAATTCGATTGATAATTTTATATAATTTTATATAATTTTACGCAATTTTTGATATACCTACTATTTATATATACATTTTTAATGGGGAACAAAATCTTATATATTTTTTTAAATCCATTGAAAGAAACAAACAGTTATATTAAAAATAAGCTATATAAAAAATAATATATATATAAATAGTTAGTATAGTGTTATTTTAATTTACAATTATTGATATGTGTAAAACCAACTGTATAGAGTATCCTATTTTAATTGCCCCAGGCAAATATCTCGAAAAATATGGAAGATACGGAAAAATGTTTCAAACAAAAGTTGTTTGGCTCGAAGGGGAACAGATAATGAATATATACAGGGTGTCCCAGACCACCCATCTCACCCGATTTTTTCGTAAACGCGACATTTTAAAGAAAAATGTTTCAGACAAAAGTTTTGTGACTTCGAGGGGGACATAAGATGGTGTCATTGGTTTGACCTTGGATAGTCGTTTGAAGATCACGTGAAGGTCACCTTTAATTTCTTAAATGGAAACCCCCATTTTTCAATGCATATTCTTCTAGCTTACCTCGAGAGCTTTCCAAAACATTATAATTAAGTACCTTTTTATTAAGTACTTTTTGAGTTATAAGGCTTGAAATAATTTCTTAATTTTACATAAACCATAAAATATCTAGTAAACCATTCATTTTTCGATTATCTTACCTTCATACTTTTATGTACAAAATAATGAGAGGAATCAATTGGTGTAAAGAAAACATACAGTTGTTTTTAAGAAAAAATATGGAATTGTTAATTGCAAATTACATATTTTTTCTTAGAAACAACTATGTGTTTTCTTTACACCAATTGATTCCTCTCATTATTTTGTACATAAAAGTATGAAGGTAAGATAATCGAAAAATGAATGGTTTACTAGATATTTTATGGTTTATGTAAAATTAAGAAATTATTTCAAGCCTTATAACTCAAAAAGTACTTAATAAAAAGGTACTTAATTATAGTGTTTTGGAAAGCTCTCGAGATAAGCTACAAGAATATGCAATGAAAAATAGGGGGTTCCATTTAAGAAATTGAAGGTAATCTTTATGTGACCTTCAAACGACTATCCAAGGTCAAACCAATGACACCATCTTATGTCCCCCTCGAAGTCACAAAACTTTTGTCTGAAACATTTTTTTTTAAAATGTCGCGTTTACGAAAAAATCGGATGAGACGGGTGGTCTGGGACACCCTGTATATTTGATCTTGAGTGACCTATTAAAGGTCAGGTTATGAAAATATCTTCCATATTTTTCGAGATATTTGCCTGGGGCAATTAAAATGGGACACCCTGTATAAGGTTATTATTACTGCGTATATAAAATTATTATTATTACTAACACTTATAATAATAATAATTATAAAAATAGAAATATTAATTATAATTATTTTATTATATGATAATAAATATTTTACTCTCCATATAAATTTTTTTGTAGTATAATCTGCGTATAAATAATATAAATAAAAGTCAATTTGGAATGCATTGCCAACAGATGCAGGAAAGGAGATAGACATGAAGGACTTAAGTGCTAAATTCACCACGGATATGATCGGCTCCACTGCGTACGGACTTAATGTAAACTCGTTGAAGAATCCGAACGCTGAATTCCGGAAGTACGGTAAAATGATCTTCGACTATGGTTATGTTCGTGGTTTCGAGATGCTCGCGTCGTTTTTCTTTCCGAACATAACGCGTTGGGCCAATATAAAGATGTTTGGCAAGGATTCTAGCAATTTCCTACGTAAAGTCTTCTGGGAGACGATGAATCAACGCACAGAGTCTGGCGTGAAGAGAAACGATCTCATAGATATTCTTATCGATCTAAAGAAAAATTACGGTCATCAAGATATTGAAGGATTCAGTAAGTAAAATATATTATACATGAAACGATGATGACTCTTTATAAAAGAACACGCATTAAGTTTTTTTAATTATATTTAATAAGAAGAAAATATTAATCCAATAAGAATGAGAAAGAGAATGTGTATATGAAAATAATAATTCAAAGATTTAAAGGGGTGAATTAAATTTTAGGATTTGATGGGGACGATCTATTAGCACAAGCAGTCGTTTTTTTCACCGGCGGTTATGAAACCTCTTCGACGACAATGGCTTTCACTTTATACGAGCTCGCGTTGCAACCGGAGATTCAGGATAAACTTAGGAAAGAGATTCTTGACGCGCTCGACAAAAACGATGACACGATTACATATGATATGGTAAGTGAACGTGATACATATCCTGTCAAAAAATCATTATTATTAACAAACAAGACACAAATTATAATAATAATATAATCATCAAGCTATTTTTTTCCCTTAAAACATTTACATCATTCATGAATGAATCTTACGCTAGATTTATACATTTGAAGGTCTCGATTTACCCGATTGTTATTATAGGTAATTGATGTTTATATATAATATTTGTTGTGTTAGATATTGTCGCTACCGTACCTTGACATGGTGGTGTCCGAAACATTAAGGATGTACCCGACATTACCGTTTTTGGATCGCATGACGACCGAGACCTACAAGATGCCGAATTCTGATCTGGTTCTCGAAAAGGGTACGCCGATTTATATATCGATGCTAGGTATGCATTTCGATCCAGAATATTTTCCCGATCCGGATAAGTTCGATCCGGAGCGATTCAACGAAGAGAACAAACGTAATAGACCGTCATGCGTCTACATGCCATTCGGGGAAGGCCCGCGGGCATGCATAGGTAAGAAAAAATCGATTTATTTGTAAAATATAATACATATATATGTGAATTAATCGATATATATATATATATATCGATTAATTTTATTATCGCATTTCGAGACACATCAAAGAGGTGTTTTGGATAAGATGAGCAATTTCTGAGCCTGTAAAGCAGATAAAAATAATATAAAATTCTTTTACAATGCATGTTTTATCATCATTTTATTATCATTGTTTACTCTATCGATCAAATGGATTTCTCTCGAGTTTTGACAAAATAAAACAAGAGTTTCCTTTTCTAGAAAAAAAAAAAAAAAAAAAAAAAAAAAAAAATATATATATATATATATATATATATATATATATATATAAAGAGAAAATCTAAAAGTATATTTAAAAATATATATAAAAAAAATTTGTCGACTTCAAAACTTTTATGAACTTTTATTTACTTTTATGAACTTTTATTAACTTTTAAATTAAAAGATTTAACTTAGTAGACCGATCTTGGCTCTCCGATGTGACAGCAAGAAATATATCATGCTATATATTTTAAAAACCCCTTACCATAAAAGTAATTATTACAAATTATTATTAAAAAAATTACAGAGCGATATAAACTTTATTTTAAAAAAATGTTTCTCAAATTTTAACTTTAAAGATAAATAATATCATGATACAGATGCATTATAGAAAAAAATTATAGAAACTTATGGGAATATTTTTATCAATTCTACGCCTACGAGAAATTGCCTTTTATCAAAACATCCTAAAAACATTTACAATCTACTACAAAAAAATTTATATAAAAAAATTGATATATGTATATAAAACATTTACAAAAAATGAAACATTGCAAAAGAGCAATATTGTCACATAAAAAAATTTTTCTTAAGAATTTTTATTACCCTTATACATCTCATAGGTACCCGTTTGGGATTATTGCAAACGAAACTTGGACTCATTAAAATCTTGAGCAAATACGAAGTGACACCGAGTAAAAGAACTTTAATACCAATGATACTTAATCCAAAAGCTCCTACAACGACACCATTAAATGGCGGTTTATATCTCAATATTCGAAGAATTAACGCTAATTAAAGTTTGATAGAAGAATGTATTACTTTCAAGCCACAAACATAAAACATAGACGTTTAACTCTGCATAATTTTCTTTATGATACGAGAAAGCCGTTCGATGAATTATAAATATCATTTAGCATAAGACTCGAAAATGTATTCAAAATATATTATTGTTGTAAATGTATGTAATAGTATATACAACATCATAATGTATTTAAAAATACAAAAGAGAGAGAGAGGAATAAAAGCTATTTAAGAGCTTGGCTCATTATGACTTTTTATTAATGTATACATTATAAATATATACATATACACATATATCGATATATATATATATATATATATATATATATATATTAGTAAATAAATACATAAATATATTTCTATTTTTATATCTTGTTGTCTCTATTATTAATCATAGATATAAAAGAAAGAATTTCTTATAAAAAAATTACTCAAAAATACATACATCATCAATAAAATAGTTTTCTTTTAATCATCGATATTAATATATATGTATACATATAAATGATAAATATATATATATATATATATATATATATATATATATATTTTTTATTTCTGCAAAGTTTAGTTTACGAAAAACTCCTTATTTCCAATCACTTATAATTCGAAAATTATTAGTGACATTTTCGCTGAGGAAAAATCGTCTCCAAATAATTCCAAGAATCTGTCTTTGAAAGATTGATTATGCGTTTTGGGACATCCTGTATATATATATATATATATATATATATATATATATATATATATATATATATATACATATTTAATACATGTACATACATTTAATACATATACATATTTAATACATACTTATAGTACTAGATATATTATTTAACAATATTTTCACAACTTATCGAAAAGTTTAACAAAGTTAAACTTTTCGATGAGTTGTGAAAATATTATTACGATATTATATAAATTCTAAAGATATTTTTAATAGAATGTAATAAATGTTTAAAACCAAAATATTTTAAATTATTTTCAACGTCTCATATTTTAAAAAATTTCACTGAATTAATATTATCTGTAATTAGTTGCAATTTAAAGATCGCATTAATATTATATGACACAAGTATCAGACATTTTATTAGACATTTTAGTTTTTATATATTTTAATTAAAAGTATAAATAATACAAAAATTCTATATATGTTTCCATATAAATACTTATATCATATAAGTACTTATTACCATATAAATGTTTCCATATAAATATTTATTACCATATAAATGCATTCTTTTTATTAAATCAACATCTTAAAATATATATAAAATCAAGTATCAATCAACTAATCGTAAGAATTCATGATGATACTTTTTACGATATTTTTTCTTCTATTATTTTTTTTATTTTTTTAACACATTACGAACCAGTAATCTTATTGCTAGCTTTACTCAATGGTCAGATATGTTTTTATATAAATACTTTACCGTAACATTGTCATTGTGACGCTTCCTATGTTAGACAGACTAATAGACAATTGACCGCTAGAATTAAAGAACATCAATCTAATTTTAATAGATTGATGTTTAGATTCCTTGACAATAGAGTGTCAATACATAGATTACTTGGCCACGATTTTAAGTGGGAAGACACAACAATTCTAGATCCTATATAGACTCTTCATATAAGAAAAGACTAGCGACAGAAATGCTGCATATCTGCCAACAAAAAAACTGGATTAAATATATACACGGAATTCTTAGATAATTCTTACCTGCTTATTATCAATAAATGCCAATTAATTTCAAAAACTCCCGCCAGTTCTTCGACATCTTCCTCCTAGAATTTCCTCCATCATCCTTTTTCTCCTTTTCTCCTTCTCACATCTGTCTCTTACAACTTTTGCTATCAGTATTATTTTCATCTACCTAGTTAAACTAAAATAGCGTTTACATTCTTTACTTTCTCCGCAGAACTTTTTTCTACCTCTCTTTGCTTTTATACTTTTCTGTACGTAATTTTATAACGATATTTGCGCTTACATTTAAGTCGTCAGTAATAATTATTTCTTTTTATTGTTTTTTTTTTAATTATTGTTTTCCGTGTTTATCCTTATATAACAGTACGACATTCATTCGCATAAATAGAGTTATTTACGTTCATTTCTTCTTCAACACTTATATGTAAATCTTTAATGAATGTAAGAAATGATTGCGGTTCCGAAGGATAATCTAATGTATATGGATAATGTATATACGAAATATAATGTATATAATGTATATACGAAACCATGACCTAATTTTAACAGTAACACACCAAATGCGTATGTTGTGAAGGTGATATGATAATAAACTTGTTTATTGCAGTTAAAGAATAAATTCAGGATTTATAATTTATTAAAACAATTATTCAGAGAAATAATATTCATTGAAGAACAAAAATAAATATATAAAAGTTTTTCTGATTTTAAGCTTTAGTCATATTATATATTATATATCTTATTAGTCAAAATGAAAAAGAATATGAATTTTCTTTCTAAGTTTTTAAGCACGCACTAAGAAAATAAAATACATTGTTGGAAAAAATATAAATATCTTTAAACTTTGAGCGAATATAATCGAAATGATGAAAGATATAAACAAATATTTTAGGCCAAAATTTTATGATTTGTAATGCAATTTAATAATAATGCATTTAAATTTTGCGAAAATGTATATAACAAATATTTTTTCTAAATAATTTTCATTTTTTCCATTATTATAGGACATTTTAACATTTTTCTAAGAACAAAAATTAAGGAACTTATCACGCTAAACATTATTATACATTATGTATAATAATATTACTTTCTAAACAAGTAATTTTTTTAGAAGTAAAATACGAACATTTTATATACATGTATAGCTTTTATAATCATCGTATCGCTATTTGATAAGAGAGATTTTTTTCTCGTAGCAAATAATATAATACTTACGTATTTAATCGTAAATAGAATATTAACGTATTTAATCGTAAATAGAATTTTAATTATATTTAATGATATTAACATGCGTAAATAGATTTTTAATTATATTCAATGATATTAATATGTCTATAGATTTTTAATTATATTTAATGATATTAACATACGCATCCTTGAAATGTGCAAAATTAATCTAACGCAGCTATTATAAAAGCCCTCATCGCATTGTAGCAAATCAGTAGTTTAGTAGTTTAGTAAGAGACGTTGCATATTTGTAATAATAAGAATATATATTTGATTTTGCTACAGTGAGACTATTTATCTTTCATATTATATAAGATTATATAAGAAACTTTTTATCACACATGTGTTTTATATAAATGTTTGCTATTTAATGTTTGTATTTTGCATATAAAATCCATCATAATGATACATTATCCACTAAAGAATGATTACACCATTTATCAATTACATAATTTTTTAAGATTATCATTTTATAATTTTACGAGTCATCGGCAACATTTATGAGCAGCAAATCAATTAGTCGTAAAATTATGTATAATTATGTATAATTATGTCAATTATATCAATTATGTCGTAAAATAAAATGTTTAATCTTGACATATTCTTTGTTATATATTATATATAAAAAAATATGATCTAACGATATACTAATTGCTATCAAAATATTATTAACCCTTCTAATGTCACATTTATATATTATATTAAATTTTTTAAATTAAAACTTTTTTAGTAAAGCGCAATGGAAAAGGATATAATGTTTTATATAAAAATATTATAACAAATAAATTAAAGACTGTATAAATTATTAAAAAAATATGTAAAATAAGTTACGCGTACACTTTTTTGAGAAAAAACGCATATTATTCTAACGATAAGAAAAAATTGAACATTGACAAGATAAATATCGAGAAGCTTATGAAAATACTTATTAATTGTCATATTCATAATAATTACAAATTAAGTTTTGTCCACGGGTTTATGAAAAGGTAGTGGAAAATTTAAATATCTGTTTTTATTGACAGATACATACATTAATCTTTTATCAGTTAATACAATGTAAATAACAATATAACAATACAAATCATTTAATATTTAATATTTCATCAATCTCATTAAAAGATGAGTGTGTATAACATGAAGTATTATGAATGGTCAATAATATTATAAAATAAGTAGAAACTCGAGGTATTAAAGTATATAAATATGTTGGCGTATATCGTACGTGTATATTTATTCTACATCTGGTGTATATTTATTCTACGACTGTGTTGTTTTAATATAATTTAATAATGTTTCATAATTTAACAATAAACTAATGTATTAAAAAAAATATGTAGTTAATATTATCACATATATTATAAATTACGATGTGAATATCAAGAAATTCAATAAGCTAAATTATGCGTAAAATAATAATATCGTTTCACAAAAATGTGTTTATTAATAAGTATATAATATTAATAAAATTAAAATGTGACAGAAAGAAAGAGAAGACGTAAACAATAGATCTTAAAAATTTAAAGAAATTTGACTGAAAAAAGTAAAAAATTTGATGATCTAACAATCATATTTTTTTCCAACAATTATAAAATATCTTTCATAACATGATAATTTTCGCTTTACGAACTCGCGGTAAAATAAGAGATAAATATAGAAAAGAATTCTTTAATGTGCTCGATAATACTGGTAAACAAGTTTATATATGAATAATTGAAGTATTTAAATATAGTATGTTATTCGCTACTAAGAAAGAATTTTTATGCATAAGTAAGAGATAGATTTAATTCAAGAGTTCGATTTATAAAAGATCAATGTATTGCCAAATATATATCAAAAATTAAAATGAGTTATTAGTAAGTATGACTCTTTTGTATTTTTCAAAATACTCCCTTTTTCTCCATATTATTTTAGAAAATTTTTTTAAAATAAAATTAAGCAATATTAAAATATCTTTTAAATCAAATTTATAACCATGCATAATGATATGATTCTCTAAAAAGGATTTTTATATTTTATAATGTGAACAAGCGTTATGCAAATATAATAGTTTGATTACATTGAACATAAATGAAATGGATATAAATGAGAGGAATTTTATCTTTCTCTATCTTTTCTGCGTTTTAACCTTAAATAAGACATGACCTATTAGTTTTTTTTGTTTTGCCCAAACATATATAAGAAAAAATCTCAGAATGTATTTATTTCGCGTTAGTTATCTCTCGTAGATTAAAGTTCCGTATTTCAAACAGAGATTCCAGTTTGTCACTCTCTCTGTATTATCATTCTAATTCCCATCCATTTTTTATTATCCC